CGCATTCCGCACGCCGCACTCCGCATCCAGCTGGGCTGGGCGGAGAGGCGGCAGAGATCAGCAGAGATCAAGTGAAGGGTGCACCGAGAAAAGTCCAAAGAAAAAGGATTGTGTGGCGCTGCCTCCGTCGCAGTCGCCGTCGCAGTTGCAGCCGCAGCTGACTCAGGCAGAGGCGGAGGCATAGGCAACGCGCTGCCCCAAGAGGTGACGGAGGTTCATTGAACTCGCCGAGGCAGCTCCTCAAACTGAGGAGCGCAGGCCCCAGAGATGGCAGCAGTTCATTTTCCAAAAGGATAAACAGAGATGAGTTTTCGGGGAAAAACTAAAAGGAATATAAACCTATTTCAAACAGAAAAGATCAACTGATAAAGCAACTGTTTTCATGAAACAACTTCTGTGTTTTATATTTATATTTATTTATTTATAATTAAGAAGTCCACTATAAACTGATTAACATCAACTAAAAACTCATATGTTCCCGATCTCGGGGATGGAGGTTAGATCTGGCGGGAAAACGGCCAGCCCAGCAGCACTGGCTTGGGGAGGCGCTTCTGCGGAGAACGATCCCCGCTCTCGGACTCGGATTTGGAATAGGACGACGACAACTGAGTGCCTGGCAGCAGAGTGTGCACTGTACAGTGTGTGTGTGTCTGTGTGCGCCAAGGAGTTTTTCCTGCTTTTCTTGTCGCATCCTACTTGCGGCACAAACAGCGACTGGGGAGATCGGCTTTATTATTACAGCTATTGGGGCGGCGGCACTGGAAGGAAGGGGACGGGAAGGCGGGAAGGCGGGAAGGCAGGAAGGAAGCGGCGACGGCGACGGAGACGGCGATGATGGGCCTTATAATCCTCCGCTAGCTCAGCTGCATACTGCAGCGATGCTGGCATTTCCCAAGTAAAAATAGAAAATAGATAAAAATGCAATTTGCTTGGCTCTGTATTACGTGTGTGTGTGTGTGTGTATCTGTCGGCAATTTGTGGATAGACAAAGGAACAGGAATTCGCTCCTAAGACGCCTCTCCTTACCTGACTGTTTTGCATAAAAATAGAGGCGGAAAGCATCGGGGTGTGTTTCTATTTAAAGGAACGATCGCGTGATTGGCATCCTAATGGTTAATTAATTGAGAGCAGGGAGGGAATCTTCGGTCTTGAGTCCCGAACAATCCATTCATCACTGACGCTTCATTAGAGGCACACAAAGTTCGAAATTCCCGAGCATGGAAAGTTAAGTGACTGCCGGGCGTCGCTTTACTTTATTGATTTATTGCTGCCCATGTGGGAACTTTCAGTCCGGCGATTGTCCTGGCAAGGAGCTCTGCAATCTGCGGGCTGTATTCGAGTCGGAAAGCAGTAATGAAGAGTGACAAACCCCTGCACCGCCATGCAGAAGTACACAAATAGCCGCACTAAACTTCCCCCGGAGTAGGGGAAGGTCACCCGGCGATCGCACCCCCGGGAAGGACCCACATGAGGCCTTAAGTGCCCCGATTCGGCAGCCGAAAATAGACCGCCTGCATTCGGCCAGAAGGAGCTACCGATGGCACACCCCCGCGCACCAGGGGCGAACTCAGATCCGGAAAGAAGGCGATCTTGGGCAGAAATCAATCTACAGCAGGATAGTGGAATATGCAAAGGATTATTCTTTAGTTTTGTCTCGATTCCAAAAGGCTTGCAGTGTTATCATTTCAAGGCCCGATAAACGATTTCCTATTCCGAGATACACACACATTTTTCCCAGTGTCGAACTAATCTCTTCAACCCCCGGACTTTGTTTATGTTTGGAAACCGCTTAACAGATTTTTATCTCAGCAGCGCACAAATTACTCAACACCAACTAGAATCCGAATTCGGGAATCCTGCGGGATCGTGTTCCCTGCGAAGGGCGTGGGTGTGGGCGTGTCCTGTTTGCTATTCCCGGAACACACGCGTATCGCAGCACGCACATCTCGAGGATCAGCATTCGGTCCACGTGAGTGGCGAGCGTCCTTCTTGGCTCATCAGCCGCATTGTCTTCGCTATTCATTGACTTCCAGCCTTTCTGCCTTCTGCCTTACTGCCTTTTCCTGCCTGCATTATGAACCCTATCTGCAGGCCCTTTTCCCATCTTCTCCTTTGTCTACCGAGTCATTGTTCGCCGCTTCTTTGTTATTCCCATTTTCCTTCGGGTCTTTTCTTGCCCGGGATCATTGAACTCCGCTCGAGGATCGCCTCATCTCGGCGACTGTTTATAATTAGATGAACGAGTGGAGCAGCGATTTCCAGGGATATTTAAGCTGGTTCAATGGGTGGAACGCGGGTCAGAGGGCATCGAAAACAATCTACAAAATAGGTTAACCACGAAATCCCACAGTAAAATAAATCAAGTTTGGTAAACACATTTAAAAGTAAATTTGAATTATTTAGGTTAATGTGGAGTAACTCAAAACTGTAGATATAACCGTTTGTAAATACCTAAACGATATCTATTAAGTTCGATATTCAAATTCCAGGCTTCGAAACTATTCGTTGTGAGTTTCCCAAGACCCTTGATCCTGCCCTCATCCAGGAGTCCCCTGCTGAATCGGAAGCATCCGCGATCCTGCATAATTTGTGGAATCCGACATGCGGCCGGGCGCGTGTTGCCCAGTGATTACTTTTGTATTTCGGTGGCAGAAGTTGTGAATTGAGTCGCCCTCGACCTCAATTAAGACAATCAAGTCGGACTGGCAGAGGGATCCTTTACCCGCAGAATTCACAAATTACACAACAGCGTGCTCAAATTTTAATTGAACGTAATTGGGGGTTGATCCTGCTGAGCGCCGTTTGCCCCAGAGTTTTCCCCGCCAAGCGGCTTTCCCATGGCAACCACTGCAGTTAGAAGAAATCGAGCGTTGAACCCTTTCCGCCAGAAGAAAAGGGAAGCGGAGCAGCGGAGAAAGAGAACGGGAGAGAGAAAGAGGAGTCGGGATGCACTTGGTTGCCACTTGGCGGACTCCACATGCACCCATTTCCATTCCCATTCACATGCACTTTTTGCCGCCTGCCTGCTCCACTCGCCGTCTTTCCCATTCCCCATTTTCCCATTTTCCTATTTCCCCATTTCCCCGCACATCGGGAGCTTCCCTCCTTTCCGTTCCGTTCCGTTCCGAGCGACTGCTAATGGATTCTACGCGGCGCTCTTCTGCCTCCTCCTTGCTTCATCACTTGTCCGCTTCACCTCCACCATTTTCCCCTGGTTCTGGCCACCCGGCCCCACTCCACACCACTCTACACTCGCAGAAACCGTTCAGATCCCATTTGAATTTTCGCACAAAAAAGGGGTTGGGCGTGGGCCAAGCTAGTATGATTTAAGTAGAGCTCAAATTCAGTTTGAATTTGATTGAATTTAGATGCACGAGAAGAGGTTCCAGCCCCCTAGTTTCTTTCAGTGCACCCAACTCCTGGCATTGACTTCAATTCCGTGGCGAGGCGAATGCACTTCGCCAGCGCCAAAGGTTTGCTGTTCCTCTGTGTTTTCCTTCGGCTCATTTGCCCCTTGGCCTATCGCACGTTTTCCTCCTGCTTTTCCGCGGCCGAGGAAAACTCCTCCCCCCGTTCCCCGCCTCCTGGCCCCCGCTTCCTTCTGCCCTCCCCAATGTATTATTTACGCTCGCCACTCGGTCTTGTGATAAGCCGCTGCGGGTCTTCCGCCCTCCGAGGGTCCGGGAGGATTTTAAAGTCATCGCCGGACAATGTCCCAGACTTGCGGCCCTCGGCTCTCGCCTTCCCGGCGCAGCGTTGGCAACTGATAACAGGCCTGGTCAACGCCCCCAGAAAACCCGCTGATAGCGGGACAACTGCTCCGGCCTTCCTTTTAGGACCTACGCGCCTTTATCGATCCCAGTACTCAGCGATACGGCCAGTATCTGTTTATTTTTATGATTCCGTCATGCGATATCAGCGAACCAGCCAGGATATGATTCAAGCTACTACCCCGAAATTCTGGGCGGATTCTCTTCGAGAATACCACTTTCCAAAATATACAATATAGTTTTATGTAAAAATGTAATTACTATAATAATTATCAATAAGTTTTAAACAACAAAACTATAACTATTTAATTGAAAAATTTAACTATTTATCAGTTCTTTAATAGCTTTCAATTCCGATGTAAGAAATCACCAACAGCATTTGCCGGGAACCAAAAACCATTTCTCCCACTGCAGATACAGATACAGATACAGATACAGATACAGATACAAACGCACGGATACACTCAGACAACTCCTGGCAGAGATAAAATTGTGAGCGGGCCTTGTCCCAGGACGCTTATCGAGTGTTGATTTGGCTTATCGACCCACTACTACCTACTTATCGCCAACAGGACTCATTCCCATCCTCCCTCCTTTCCTTTCCGGCGATAAGGAGCCAATATCGGGAATCGATTCCAGAGTCCAGAGTTTCTCCCCTCTGTTCGGCGTGGTACACTGTTTTTTCCACATATGGCACTGTGGGAGCCGTCTTTACCTTGGCCAAGTGTTACCTTGCCCAAAACGCGAGCGCTGCAAACTGCTCCAATTATTTGCGAAATTCGCTTGGTCGATTTCGGATGGCCGAAATGTGTGTTTCGTGAGTGCCGGATTGCCGGAGTGCTGCTGTTGCAACATTCGAGGCGATTCTTGCTAACTCAGTGAACGTGAGGCGGCGGAGCCAAGAGCAGGCCCCCAAGAACACCAAATACACCATATACGTACCCCGAGTCTCGGCTCGTGTGCGCCCAAGAAGCCCGGGTAATTGGGTCATCGGTTGTGGCTCTGGTTGTTGTTCTGGTTGTGACAAATTCGCGAGACGCACAAGAAACGAACTGCGACAGCAGAAAACTCGGATGGAAGACGGAAAATGGCAATGCGCTGAGAATGTCGTTGCCCAGAACTTGCACTTTCTCCTCCCCTTTGTCATTGAGAACTGAATTGGGGCTTTCGTACACCAACCCATGTCTCCAACTGCAATTTTCCCGCACTTGGCCCCCAAAGCGATCCAAATTCTGTTCAGAGCTTGAATGTTATTTTACACAAATCACCAGATGCAGAAGCTGAATGAAAAGACTGATTGGAACGCAGTAAAGACAGATGCTAGTCAGCGAGCCCTTTTCAGCCTGGGTTGTCGGTCCGTAGCGGAGATCATCGCAATTGCCGCTGCTGCTGCCATCGTCGAACCCAAAAAAAAACTCATCCCCACCCGGGTTGTCATCGAAGCCATCCTCTTCAAACTGTTTGGGCCGCAGGACAATCCCTTCTGCGGAGATTCCGGGCCTGCTGAAGGGGCTCTGCTCCGGCGGTTCACCACCTCTTGCCATTAGCAAATCCGGACGAACATCCCCGGATAATTGGGGATGAGCAGACGAAGGAGCCGCCTCCACAACTGTGGCCAGAGGCTAGACTTCGGTCATCATTGCCACAATCATTCAGCACTCAACATTCACTTACAGTTGACAGAACACATAGGAACAAGACGTACTCCATAATTTGGTCCGAATCGAATTAGAATTTTTAACGAAGATTTGTTTTGGCACGCCCGAATTTGTGACAGGTCGATAGATAATTAAAATCCACAGAGAACAATCGATTTCCAAAACTAAGAAAACATGGGTGCACCTAGAATTCACAACATTCAAAAAATCAGTTTAAAATTTGCAAAGTTATGGGATAAGAAATAAGTGGTTTTGTTCACCTTTCAGCAATTCATTGAAAACAAGGAAAAATCTGACATGAACAGGGGTTCACCAAATTAAAATATTTCGACACAGTTCTTATAGAAACCTACGTTTAAAGATAAGTTACATTGGGATCGGATCAAAAAAATGCAATTCATGGAAATATGGGGAAAAACCTGACATAAGCGGGAGTCAAAATATCGACCTCCTCCAAAGTAAAATATTTAAATGCACTTCGATCAGGAATCCCATTACAAATGTTTAGAGGATTGCCACCTTGGGATGGGATATAAAAAGTATCCCACCTATGGCTTCTGGAAGTGCCGATTTGGGTAACCTTTTGCAATTCATGGAAATCTTGGGAAAAATCGGATATTTGTTGAGCTATAACTCCCAGAAGTCGTTCTAAAAAAATGAGTTTCACCTAGAGTAGAACCCCATCTACCAGACAAATTAACCAATTATTAGTCAACTAATAAGTGATCAAACATTGGTCAGCCTGAATAACTTTAACTGCTGACTTTGGAGTGGCTGCCACCCTTAGTGTGAGTGGCACTACCCCGTGTGGCAACACCATCTAGTTTGCTGTGTTGTCTTCTTGGCGCGGCTCTCAATGGCCAGCGCTGCGAAGAAAGACAAAGTGCGCGTTAGCGAGAGCTGCCAAAAGTAACTGGAACTGGGTAACCGACTCGTTCGCAAGCACTCGCAAGTCAGCCACTTGGCCAGCACACAGAGCCACTTGGCTAAAATGAGCGGCTCAAGGTCATCACGCCACACAAAAAGAAACAAAACGCAGACGCAGACGCAAACGCAAACGGAGACGGAGACGGAGAAAAGTGCTGCAAATCTCTCGACGTCTAACTGCAGCCAAAGTCGCACTTGCAGTCGTCGCTCGATGGCCTCGAATCTTGAGTCCGCTGCAGCAGCAACAGCAACAACAGCAGCAACAGCAACAACAGCAGCAACAGCAACAACCCAACAGCAACATCCAGCTCCCAGCGGGGCAACAACAAAAGCGGGCTTACGAAATCACGAGCCATTTGAATTGAATGAGCCACGCAGATCGTGGGTTTCTCGGGGAGGTTGTGAAGTAGGGAGTGGTGTCCAAAGCCAAGCTCGCACACAGAGAGAAATTGCTTCGAAACTTTGTACGCCGTTCAATCTTTAACAAGAATGCTAAAAGATTATATTTCCCAATGAACCTTCTAGCAAATATGTGGATTTACTAACGACTAATTTAAAAGTTTATACTATGGGATAGTATTTTACTGTAGCACAATTGTTCACTTTTCTCTCTGTACTCGATGGAGTTATAAAGTCGCCAGCTCTCTCACACTTCTAGATAGACAAACACACACGGAGAGCTTGGCGCTGGAAAAATTCACACAGTGTTTCAATTGCACTTCGCAAGGGAACCTCTGAGTATCTACAAGATGAGTCTTTCGGTCGCTACAGTATTGTAAGACTTCCCACCCGCCCCCTCCCTTTCGCCGGGCGGTCCTACACACAAATCGAATCGATGGAATGCTAGTCGAACTCTGATCAAATAAACCGCAAAACTGCCCATGCCCAAAGCCAGCTCCGATCATCAGCAGGCATCAGCCGCTTCATCAGCAACATCAACATCATCAGTGGGCCCGAATGCGAGTGCAGCACTCTGAATACCCTACTTTCCGTGAAAGAAGAAAGACACTCTGTTGGGGGACCCTCTTCCACTCTAATTGGAAACGAACGAGCAGCAAGTCAAACCTTCGAGCATTGCGCCAATAATCACTGACATCCAAGGGCAAGTAATGATACCCTGCGGCGAGGGTATGGCGACTTTGTCGCTTTGTGGGCGGCATCAAAGTTGCCGTTCACTTGCAATTGCGATCCGCTGGTGGGCGGCGTGGTGCGGCTCCCCTGGATTTCAGATGGTGGATGGCGACTCGGCGAGTTGGTGGACTGGTGGCGTGCCTCGGTGGCATTTGGTGTCATTCGAAGTTAATTGCTGGGAACGAGCGACAGAGGCCGCCGTGCCTCGCTTTGCAGCTTTGGAGCTTTGGAGCGGGCTCTGGCCCGGATTTGTGTCAACTCTTAAGGTTAACCTCGTAATTATGATTGCTGCTGCTGGTGTCTTCGGGTTTCCTCTGCGGCGTTCTCGCCCGTTCCGGCAACTCGAGTGGATTAGAGCTAGAGACACTTATACGTATATGGAAGGTGCTCACTTCGTAGAGAAACGTTTTCAAATAATTTCGGTTAGTCTTTATTTTCAAACTTTATTCAGTGGAGGACTGACCGTTAGACGTCGCAACCATAAAGGAAATCGAAAACAGAAATCAAAAGCATTTAGCATCGTCGAGAGCCCAAAAAGTGAAGATGATGCCGTGAAAGAAACTTTTCCCATCTTCCTACGTTTCCTATTTCTGGTTTGGCTTTTGCCCCGATTCCCCTGCCGCTTTCCTTCCCCAACCCCTTCCCCTCCCGCTCCCGCTCCCCCTTTACCGCTCCACACACTTTAGAGCACCCTTTTTCGAGGCAGCTTTTCTTTGTGGTCCCCAGCCCGGCGGCGTTCCTCGTTCGGCGGCTCTGGAGTGTGAGAAAAAAAAGAAAATCAAGGCAGCTACAGATGCACAGATACTCCGGCGCAGACAGAGATGGCACGCTCTTGCCGTCCCGCTCCGTAGCTGGCTCCAGGTCCCGTTAGAGCTGGAAAAAGGGCAAGCCAACTCAGATGCAAGCCAGCTCAGTGTGCGGAGTGAGGATCCGTAGAGGAAAGCCAAAGCTGGAAATCCGAGAAATGGATTTCGAAAGAGCGCCGTCTCAGCTTTCGTTTCGATTATGAAATCAAAGCCGAGAGAGTGGGCAGAAGAAAAGGTTTCCTTCTGCGCACCGGAGGTTTCCCTGGGAAGACGACGAGGTATTCAGGTCAGGCGGGCTTCGGAATTTCTGTGGAGAATCTGGGGAGAATCCCTGGCCCGCTAATCCAAAACAAATACACAAATACAGATGCTAAACAGGCGAGAAAGGCAGCGCTTAATTATTCAAATGTTATGCGCAATTTAACTCTTTGTTGGTGTGGCCCATGTTTTTGTTGTTTGTTTTTGTCCGTATTATTCAACTGCCATTCGATTTCGTTTCGTGGCGACTCCTTGATGGGCAAGTTGGCCAAGTGGAAAACCAGTTTTAGAATCGGCCAAAGCCCAAATAGCAGCCACCATCGCATTAGAGAATCCCACGCAGAACGCGTTTCACTCACTCGGCAGCTTGGCTAACGAAGTGCACGACTTTGGTCTAATAAAAGCAAAACACTGAGGCGCGCACACGGCCAGAGGAAAACCCCCACGCACAGGCATCTCTGAAGGTTGAAAAGCCCAGAGAGTACACACAAAAAAAGGGGTTGCAAGTCTTCAGAAGCGATCTGAGAGAGAGAAGGTAAAACTAGAAGTACAAAACTACTGATTTAAAATGTATTTAATGGAAAGTTTAATGATGCAAATATGCTCAAATCAGTTGATATTGAAAACTTCGAAAACAGTGTTTTTCAACGTGTTCGAGAGCGCAAACAGACTCGCCCTAGCCTTGCGGAGAGATTCTTAATTAAAAGCGAATTTTATCTCAAATAACGCCGCTAAGGCAGCAACAAAAATTAAGCAATTAATTTATTTCAGCTGTGTGGCACTTTGAATAGCGGGAAAAAATCGGAGCCAAGTAAAAATGGCCTGGCAGGCGGCCAGATCGGATCAAACCTGTTGGATCGCGGGCCCAGAACTCCGGGCAGTTCCCCTAGAAAGAGAGGGCTTAGCCAAGCGAGTTTGCCAGATACTCGCACACTCGAACACCCGAACACTCAAACTCAAGCCCCCTGGGACTTGCCGTGTTTCACAAGGCAATGCAAATTATCTGGTTACAGTGCGCTGCTTGGAAAGGGGTGGGGGTGGGGGTGCCGGGCAGCCGAGGGATGCATTTGGATCGCCCTGCTGAATCACTTGGACGGTGATTCACGCCGAGAACACACGTCGTATTCTACGGTTTCTAGCGAAATCCATTTCTAAACTAATATCAGCTTTAGCACAATGACAAGTATGCGAAGGGAGATCTATTAAGATTCAAAAGTAAACCAATAAAAGCCCATTGGGACCAACTGCTTGTTCTGGAATGAAGAGATTAAGAGGGTCTTTATCACCGCATAAACAGTGGAGATAATGACTTTCCTAGACACCGCTTATCTGCCACCCAAACTCTGGTCCCTCAGTCCTTTCCCACTATCAGCGGTTGCAAATTTAAAGAACTCGTCGATTAGGCGTTATGCCGCTTCTCTAAAAAACACACTTTGATCGACGATCTTTCCCATGCATGTCTAATGATCCTTCAAATGACCACTAAAAACCGAGCCGGCCCCTTGGGACCGGACCTGGTAATGCCCTCCGCTTGGGGTTACCCCGGGTGCAGCCCACTCCCAACAAGACTCGGCCAGTTGACCAGTGGATTACGTGTGCCACGCTACACGGAGAAAAACCAGAACTTTATTCGGCTCGGTATAGTGTGTTGACAGAGACCGGGAAAATGAGTAAAGCCAAGCATAAGACTTGGAACAATAGTCATTTATACAATGACTACTAAGTTAAACATATTATAGGAATCTCAATTTCTCACATCTCTAAGAACTGGGTTCTCAGTGCAGGGTAACCCCAGCAATCATTATTCAACTTAAAGTCGGGGAAAATATAGAATCATTTCGGTTTCAGTTGGAAACGGGCGCGATCGTTCTGTTAAGCGGTGGGTGTGCGGTCAGGGGGTTGGGCGGCCGAGAGAGTCGAGCATACCCGGCACGCTTTTCCGATCAAACCAGTTTCCATAATAGCTGGCATTTGGAATTAGTTTCTGCCGATATATAGCTGCACTAGGAAT